TTGAGGTCGGGGTTGGGCTCGGAGCGTGAGGGAACCCCCCGGTAAACGCGAGGTAATTAACGTCTGGGATATTAGTGTAAATGAGGTGTAATTAACGATGTAAGTTATTAGCGAGGTGTAGGGAGCGCCTGAGCCGTGGCGGCCCCGCGAGGGCGGCAAAGCGAGCGAGCGAGCGAGCGGGGACTGCGAGGCGAACAGCCAGGGAAGGAAAAACATACGGGAAAAGAGAGGAGGGAAAAAAACCCCAGATTAAATCGGCCCTTCCCGAGGGCGGGAGACTCGGGAAAGCCGGGATAGGCTGCTGGGAATGGTCTGGAAGAATTACGGAGTGATCGCAGCGTCGAATAAAAGGAGATGTTTTCTTGCCAACAGAGCAGTAAAGGCTCTCAGCTTGCGTCTGATGCTCATCCGTCAGAGAGTGGAGATACACCCAAGGAAGGATTAGACAGCTGAGGGTGTTGGTTGGGATATGAATTCCAGGTTAATGGACTCAATAACAGAGTAATCAGAGGTTTAAAGCCACGCACTGCTCTCCCCATCTACCTGCACACACCTTCTGTCTCATCTTCGTGTGCTCAGCTTGACCCGGGGCAGCTGGTTTTACACCAAAAACGTTCAGCATTGTTGTTTCACCTCTCAAGCCTGTCAAGGTCCCTCTGGATGTCCCATCCCTTCCCTCCAGCTGTGACTGCCCCACACAGCTTGGTGTGGTCACAGAACCTGCTGAGGGTGCACTCAATCCACTGACCATGTCACCAGCCCCTTAGGGACACCACTTGTCACTGGCCTCCACGTGAACAATGACCACAACCCTCTGCAAACAGTATCTGCTTTTGGGTTTGTGCAGTTTTACTACTGAGGTGCATTAATATGTTTGGGTTTTGGTACTGTATTTTACAGGAAAAGCAAATCCTTCAGCAATGAACAAGATTTATGCAGACCCCAACATGGAAAAGTGAGTTGAAATCTAAGAATTTTACTGTGATGTAAATAGTGTCATTGAGAGACAAAACCTTTCTTGGTGCACTCCAGCATCTCTTGAAATGTGTCTTCCAGTCTGAAGAAAACCAGGAAGTTTGATGGTGTTTGGGAAGCTCTGAGGACATTCATTAGTGGTGGATTGTCCAGAGACTGACTGTTGGGCTGGGCGTGCAATCTGCTGAGTTTTCCATAGCTTTTTGGGGGGAACTTGTGCTGAAATGTTCCATCTGTTCCAAGCAAATTGGTTTTTTAATTTCACACTTGTGAAGATAACTGAGAAATCAATTTATTAACCTCAAAACTGTGGCAGGAAAGACCTTGGTGCAGCTTTGTGGCCTAATAACTGTTTCCTTTTTTCCCCTCCAGTGATAACACTGAGCACATCAGAGGGAAGAGACTGTCCTCTGTGAGTAACTGAAAGTATTTCTCGAAATAAAAGCCTGGGGGGGAGGAAGAAAAGGAAGCTGGAAGAACTATTTGCTCTTATTGGAGTTGAAGCAAAGCATTGCAAAGAGCCTGTTGGAGTGAGATGATTGTCTGAGGCACTGCTGGCTCTTAGTGGCTCTTAGAAACTCTCACCATCCAAGAAATCAGTTCTTGGAGTTGGAGCTGAACTATTCTCTGTCCCTTCAGATTTTAAAGACTCCACGAAATCCTCTGGATGTCCTGGCAAATGGGAATGAACTGACCCAGGTAGGTCTAGCAAGTCCTTTCCTCCTGCTGTTCCTCAACTGTGTCACTGCAGGAATTCAGGTGGTTTGGATGCACCATTTTTAACAAGATATTCCATTTTTTTGTTTGGCTTTGCGTTTCATGGAAAGCTATGGGTATGGATTAACAAACTGACTGTTGTGTCCTTTATTGGCAGGATATCACCATAGAGAAACGAAGGAAGAACTCACGCCGGGTCAGCTTTGCCAACACCATCAAGTGAGTGTGTGCTGAAGGGTGCAGGTCCACAGCTTTTATGGAAGCATAAAATACAGAGAATAATCTGATACCCCCTAAAATTGCCCTCCCTGAATACTCACACATGATTGCAAACAGCAAGATAGTCATATGGAGTTGGATTTGAGCCCCAAGAGCCAATTTTTGTTTCCCATTATGATTTCCATCGTCAGCATCAAAATGGCCTCATAGAATAATATCTTCCCCTTGGAAAATGCGATTGGGTTCAGCACACTTCCAGCTTTTAATAACTCATCCCAGAACATGTTAAAATGATTGAAATTAAAGCTGAGTTTTGTTTTAATTTGCTTTGAACCAGATGGTTTTGTGTTTTTATAAATTGCTGCTGGTTTTGTTCTTAGCTGCAGAGTCTTCCAGCGAGATCTTAAGAGTAACACAGCAGAGAGTGAAAACACAGGTAAAACTTTTTTCTTCTCCTGATGGGATGGATGGGATATGAACAACAAGATTTTAGCTTGAATTTAAGAAGTCAAGGCTGTCAGGGTGGGGAAAGGAACATGTTCAGATGTTCATCCTGGGCTGGCTGAAAACCCTTTAGTCACAGAGTTTGTAGCACAAGAAGGCACATCAAGAGTGAGATCTTCTTCTGTGCTGGTCATTTATTTCAATGTTTTATACTACCAGAATTGTGCAGGTTGGAAAATACCTTTAGGATCATAGAATTTATGGGTTCGAATGGGCCTTACAGATCATCTAGTCCCAACCCCCTGCCCTGGACAGGGACACCTCCCCACTAGATCAGGTTGCTCAAGGCTTCATCCAACCTGGCTTTAAACACTGCCAGGGTCGGGGCAGCCACAGCCTCCCTGGGCAACCTGTGCCACTGTCTCACCACACTTACAGGAAAAAACTTTTCTCGCATCCAACCTAGACTTTCCTCCTTCAGTTGGAACCTGTTACCCCTTGTCCTATCACTGCAGTTCCTAACAGAGTCCCTCTCTGGTTCCTTGTAGCCCCTACAGATTTTGAAAAGTTGCTGAGGTCTCCACACAACCTTCTCTTCTCCAGGGTGAACAGCCCCAGCTTCCTCAGCCTGTCTTCATAGAGGAGTTGCTTCAGTCCTCTTAGCAACTTTGTAGCCTCCTCTGGACTCGCTCCAACAATTCCATGTCCTTCTTATGCTGAGGGCATCAGAACTGCACTCAGTATTCCAGGTGGGGTCTCAAGAGCAGAGTAGAGGAATCACCTCACCTCTTTTGGCCACGCTCCTTTTGATGCAGCCCAGGAGTAATCAAGTCCAACCATGATCATCCTCACACTGTAATACTGTCATTGTTTTGTTGTTTTTAGAGAATGCAGCAGATAAGAGGGATGATGTCTTTCCTAACCAGTAAGTATCATGTCTGATAGATATTTATTATTATTCTGTATTTATCGCCAAACTTTCTCTCTCAGAGGCAAATCGCTCCTTTTGATGCAGCCCAGGAGTAATCAAGTCCAACCATGATCATCCTCACACTGTAATACTGTCATTGTTTTGTTGTTTTTAGAGAATGCAGCAGATAAGAGGGATGATGTCTTTCCTAACCAGTAAGTATCATGTCTGATAGATATTTATTATTATTCTGTATTTATCGCCAAACTTTCTCTCTCAGAGGCAAATAAAGTGTTACTTTGACCTCTAAGTTCTTGTAGACAAAACACAGTGCTGGGTTTTTTTTAATTTAATGGCCTAGTGGTAAAATAACAGATTTAGAAGTTTCTGGGTGTGAAGGGGAATTTCACAGTATTGCAGAGTCTGTGGTAAATTAAGAATTAATCTTTTCTCTGGTCACTGAGGAATTAAGATGCCCCTGTGTGTTGACCAGTGGCTTGTGGCAAGTTAAGATGGGATAATTTTGTGGGGAGATAAGATTGTAAATTAGCAATATATTCAAATTAGGACATACTGAATGCAAATAAGTGGTGCCTGGCATCTGCTGCCCAGTCCTACAGGAGCTCTGCCATGAAATTCTCTGCCTTTTCCTTTTATTGCTCAGGGCTTCTCTTTGGAGATCTGTCACCAAACTGGTATCTCTGAAATCTTTTAACAAACTATGTATCAAACCCATTTTTGTAGGAATAAAGAACCCGAAGCTGTTCCATGTGAGATCACTGGTGAGTTGGGAAATAAATTTAGTAACAAAATGACTATCTTTAAATAAAGCTCTTGATTATGTTTGAGTAATTTTAACATTGCCTGGAGCAATCTCCATGGTTTGGGAGAGTTCCCAAAAACTGTTCACAAACTTCCTCTCATGAAAACAGCTTTCCGATGTATTTGGGTTTAGCTGTATTTATTTGGTATTTGTAAAACAACCGCACAGACCTTCAGCTCAGAGGATAAAATAATCAGCAAATAGCACAACTGGAGTATTCCCTTTTCTTTCCACAGGGATGAACACTTTGCTTCATGCTCCCATCCAGGCTTCGGTGCAGCAGACTGAGGTGTGTGAAGCTGCTGAAAATATCAGTGTCTTAAATATACCCCAATAATTTGTGTAGTGAATGATGCAAAAATATTAACTGCCTAACAAGGCTTTGTATTTACATCAAGTTCTTTTGAAGAGGTGTTAATGCTGCAACATAAGTACCTCTTGCTGCTGAAAGTGCTCTAACTTCTCAGTACCTGAGGTAGTTCCTTTGTTCCTCTCAGTTCTTACCTAAGTGTGCAAAGGAGCTCCTGTTTCTGACAGGTCTGGTTATGTAGTTATAAAATGTCATATGCAATTGGAAGTAAATATGAAGCTGTTCTGAATACACTTATTAGTCATGATTCAGTGTAGTATTACGTCTTGTCACTGGTCAGTTTTGCCTCTCACACATAAAACTGCAAATCCTTTCTGCTAAAGAGACTAAAATCTCCCAAATCAGTGGTGGAAAAGGCTTTAAAGACATCCAGTCTGGTGCTGCTGCTCTGGGACAGAGGCACAATACATGGGGCAAGGCTTTTCCTAGAGTTAGGGGGAAATAAAAGGTGGAAACCACATTATATGGAGAGAGAAAATATTGATCTATAAGCCTCAGTAATTATTTTGTGCTGTGTAATATGTGGCTAGCTATGAAATGTGATTTTTTTAAAATGGAAAAGTCCATTTAAATATGATACACTAATGATTAAGTCATTGTCCTTCCCTTGAATGTGTTATTGCTTTGCATGGAGGCCTGAGATCAACAGGATTTTTAAACCAAAAGACAGAGACCCAGAACCTTAGCACTGCATTACTTGACTTGTTTTAAATAGAACAAACCACTGATCGTTTGTTTTAAATGTCAGTCACTGAATTCTCCCCTTTTCCTATTTTTTAGTGGGAAGATGCTGTCCAAGGGACAACTAGGCAGGACACCACCCTCATCTTCTCGGAGGAGAACGAGATGGAGATGACAGCCAGTCATACCGCCGTGATCTCGCGGAACCTGAAGGACCAGCAAGATGACATAACTGAGAAGATAGATGTCACTTCATTCCTGGCTGGATTAAACTCCAGCCATGGGAAGGCAGGAACAAGCAAAGGGTTTAATTTGCTCTCTGAGCCCATACACCATCCATACCAGACTTTGGAACAGCAGAAAGAGGCTACCACTGTGAAAAAAATCGATTTAAATGAGTTCTTGATGAGCCTGAAGTCAAATGAGAAGGCTCTCAATCCTGCTGAGGGACTTGACAAGGAGAATGTTGTCCCTTCCCAAGGCTTGGAAGATGCAGCACATTCATCAGGGGAATTTCTCTATTCCCATGAACCGCTGAACACCTGCAATGTGACAAGAGTCTTTCAAGGGCAAGAAGGTGGGATGGAAATGACAACATGTGCAGCAGATGATGTTCCAGTTCCATGCTGTGGGGCTGCAGAGGCTCCACTGGAGCAGTTGGAGCGTTTGGATGTCACTGAGGCGTTTGCAGATGATGGAATGGACATGACAACCAGTCACACTGCAAGAATGTCTTTTCCCCTCTCTGGTGTTGGGAATCAAAGTCTCTGCTTCAACCAGGATTTACCATCCACAGATTTAGATTATTCTGTGTCACAGAAAGCTTCTAATCACAGCTCAGTTGTCCAGCAGGACCCTCAGCGTTGTGTGAGGGCTGAAGACAGAGAAGATGTCACAGTGCTGAGACCTGTGAGGACAAGGTCAGCTATCCCAGGATCTGTTTCTTCCAAGACTGTCTTCAGAGGGGATAAAACTGTTGTGTTTCCTAAGTGTGATGACATGGAAATGACTGGGAATTACACAGATATCATCTACAACCACAGCACCACAGAAGGGAGCAGTTCATGTCCTGAAACGCGTGAAGAGCCAGTGAGTACAAAGCCTTTGCCAGCAGAGAGCAGACACTCAGTGCATGGGGACAGGGATGTCACACAGGGTCTGACAGCTGGACATAATCCAGCTGCTGTGTCCCATAGCAGCTCTGCACTTGGACTGGCTTCAACCTCACATGGACACATGGGAAATGTGTCCCAAGCTTATGGTCCTGCTGCAGGGAATATTGGATTTGGCCCACATCCACATTCAGTGGCTCCAGGAGTTGCAGTGAGCAGGTTTCATCCCTTTGCAAACCCTCGTTCAGGTGAGAAGACAATAATATTCCCAGAAGAAGACATGGACCTGACTAAAACCTGTGTTAAGAATGATGGGAAGATTGTTGATGATGAATCTTCTGCTGCAGCGTTCGCCTCTGTCATCCTTAAACCTCATTTTCTTGGGAACAGATCCACATTTTCCACTATGACTGACCAGGAAGAGATGGAAATGACAAAATGCCATGCTTTTCCCATTGATGATCAAAGCAGTGGGATAACTGCAGGAGTGAAGGAGATATCCTGTAAAACCATTCCAAGAAATAACCAGAACAGGAATGTCAGTGAAGGTGCAAATTCTTTACATATGGAAGATATGGACAAGGAAAATATTGAGGTGATGAGTGTGGATAGGAATATTAAAAGGAATATGGAAACAAATACTAAAGATCTGCAGATGCTAATGGCTGAAAAGCAGCACGGAAAAAACAACTTTCAGGCTAGTGGTACAAGTTCTTTGGCTCCAAGTGGTTCATTTATTTCCAGTAACAAACCAGCTCCCTCTGGAATGAGGGAAAATGTACAATTGGGAAGAGGATTAGGAATAAATGCAGATTGGCAGAACTCAGAGAGGCAAGAACAAACCCACGCTGTGAGGGCAGCACACAAGGTATTGATAACCCAAGGAGATTCCAAGAGACATTTTTCAGTGGGTAAAGCATTTTCTTCCAGAGAGGATTTAAAAGCTCCTCCCTCAGCTGATGGCCTTTCCCAGAGGGATGTGGAGGGGCTGGCATGGACTGATACATCCCAGCCATGTAAGGGAGGTTCCCAAGTGCCTTTGTTTGGAGAAAAGTCTGCTGTGTTTCCCTCTGGTGAAAGCATGGACTTGACTGGGAACTCTGCAGTGGTGGTTCCAGGTAACAACATCAATGTTGTTTTGTCAGAAAGAAAAGCAGCACTTGGATACCTTGTTCAAGGTGGGAGTGAAACGAAGCCTTCACAAAAAGGGGCCACAATGACAATGGATAATCAGGAGCAGCCTGTGGGCCATGAGTTCTCCTCGGGGTCTGGCAGGAAAACATCCACCATGAGTGGGGTAAAACACTTTGAAGGTGAGAAAACAATCCTGTTTTCAGAAGCTGCTGACATGGACATGACCATGAGTCACACTGTGTCAGCACACAGCAGAGTCCTTTTGCAGCACAGAAGTTCAAGTGATGCCACAACTTTGATTTCTAGGGATCAAACTTGTGTTCTCACCTGTGACATGGAAATGACTAAACTTGACACCACTGCACTCCATGAATCCATGGGGAAAGCTGTGCCCCAGGAGGTGCACAGCAGAGCTAAAACTGGAAGGAAAAGCTTGAAGGGAATACCAGGGGAAAAGACTGTTTTGTTTTCCCTGAGTGGTGAGAATGATGACATGGAGATGACACAGAGCCACACAGCTGCAATAGGACATGAGATTGTGCAGGACAAGGGAGAGCTCTGCTCTCTCTCTTCAGCTCATCCCGTGAAGAGTGTTGTGTTCCCAGGGAGCCAGGCTGAGGTGGGCATTACCACATATTGCTCTGCTGATAAAACAACAGGAAAAGTTATATGTGATGATAAACCAAGCTTGGACAAGGAGTTTGGACTTCCAAGCAGCCAAACTACAGTGTTTGCTGAGGAGGACATGGAAATCACCAAACCCCTCCATGTGGCTTTGGCAGGGAACCCTCTGCAAGGCTGTCAGCCCACTCAGCCTCTTCCCTCCACTTCCACAATCCTGTTCTCCGGTTACCAGGCTGCCATGGATATAACTGAGGCTCACACTGTTGATCCAAGTGTTGGAAGAGACCTTTGTGAGGGGCAGGTTGGGCAGGAAGCTGCTGTAGGTGGCAGCACAGTCACTTCAGCTTTGGCTGAGGATACGGACATCACCAAAACTCACACAGCAGCATTGAGTGCTGGCAT